AAACTTCAATGAGTAGCTATCCCACCAGTATGAATTGTGTTATACCACATGGTATTCATAAGTGAACTTTGAAATATCGATCCTGTGTTTATCAGTAAGAAGTATGGGCATTTTGTTTGTCTTTTCGTTTACATGAAACTACAACGTTCAGGCCAAAGTTGCTAAACATTTTGAGGTTTTTCTCTTTTATAAATCAGATTTACGAATCTATTCAACAAATGAGATATGCAGCAGGATTTATTTTTTTCAAACACTAGTCACTTTTATTATTATCCAACATTTAGTGTTGACCAGATATATCACACAGTTAAATGCAATATCGGTCATTGGGTTAACGCTGGCCTTTTATTTGGTTTAGCGATGCCATCATCAGGCGGAGTGGCTGAAGGGATTGTTTTGAACAATGCGGAGAATCGGCAGGAAATGTTCTTATGAGAAACTCGCTTCTTGTTGATCATCACATTAACTACAAATTCATCCGAATGTCGAATTGTCAACGCTTACAAATAAAGTGTGATGTAGGTAAGCCTACAGGAATGTGAGTGTAATTTTGTAAACTTTATTAGGTAACGAGCGCTTACGAATATTTAATTCACAATCATCATGCAATTGTATAAATATTGTGAATAAATGCATTATTTGCAGACATTTATAAATCACACTTGTCAGCGTGTTATAATACTGGGTCTGTAGTTCTGTAGTATTAGAATTCAACATTCAAAAGGTTGGTGAATAGTTCATGAACTGTGAACAATATCAAGGCTTAGTTATACATATGCTTTTATCAAATCTGATAAAACAGGTGTGCTACACCCACAGATACAGCCATTAGAGAATAGTTTTTAAATGCGCATAGCACCGTCTATAAAAGGTCCAAAAGCCAAGAATACTTTCACTGCATCACCTATTCAGATTAGCCCCACAATACTTCACTGCTTCATGCAATTATTCCACTTTATGAATGTGAATTATGAAGAACAAGACTTTACGTGGATTGAGAGAGTATCATCATTTATTTCGCTGGCTTCTCATCAGTGGCATGCAGCCTGAAGAAATTATTAGGTTGGTATAAAGAACCATTCTAACATTTTACAAGTGTTAGATGATGTTGACAGGAGACTGAAAATGTAATAAAAGGTGTTTAGAAACCGAACTTATATAGTTTATACCCAGAGATTTCAAGTTTAAACAATAGGAACTACTTGAATACAATGGCAAAGGAGCTTTTTATTTGATAAACTTATTCCTCTTAATGATTCTGAATAAAGCAAGAACAACAGTTGTTATTATTTATTTTCCTTTATTATAGCCTGATTCCACACAGTACTCTGGTACAACTACGGAATTTTCAGCATGTGATGTTGGTAGCCCAAGTTTAGCAGGCTGATCATTGATATCAGATGTGCGTTGTCCAGAGGTCGAACCTCGGACCATGTGCATGGCCGGCGAGCGTCCTAACCGCCGTGCCACCGACATATTAAAGACAAGAAATGGATAAGAGGATGAGTGACAAGTAAATTGAGTAACAATGTGTTAAGTTCAACTCAAAGGACAGAAACGAGACAAAGTGCACTATATCAAAGAAGCAGACGTTAAAACCAGAGATTACTCAATAAAATGAAAGAAAGTAAAGACATCTAGTCTCCAGCGCACGGAGAAACTGATAACGTCTTCTTTCTGAAAACATAAGTTTTCTATAGGTTCTACCTCATATGTAACTTTGAGTCACAGAGTGTTCGAGAGTACATACATACAGAAACAACTACTTTTGTTGTTATCCAGTAGTATAATTTTGATTTTTACGTGAATTTAAGTAGAAGTTGACTTATTTACTGCATCAATGTATGAAACAACTTGAAACCACTATGTCCATGGGCATTATACCAATGTTTTGGCTCTGATAGTTTCAGTTTTATCATTAGACAATACCTAACCAGTGAGCGTTATTGCTTGGACTAAGATTTCGTTACTAATTTTTTTTACACCCAAAAGAACCTCCTACTTCTTAAAAAGATCTTTCATTGCGAATGTTATCACATGACTAAAACTGGCTTACCCTATGTATAAAAACTGTTTCTGTCATCTTATTAGAATTACTTGAGTAACCTCTTTTGTTTCCCTCATACCATCTCATGGCTAATGAGGACTTATGATACGTGCGTCTACCTGCAAACTCCTTTCTTTTTATTTAAATACAAACGTTGAGAATGTAAAATAAGATAATTTAATACATTTTTTATAGTAAACTATAACGGCAACAACTATGATATTGGCAAAGAAAGCAGGATTATCAAAGATCAAAAGTATTAATTAGATATTTTGCATCGTGTGACTCCACCATCACATTCAAAACCACAACTGGGACCTACAAGAATGTAATTATTCAGTCGATGAACCAAATTTTAGTGTTTCCCAAACTCCAGTATTTCACATTTTATCACAACCGGTGTCATGTCTTATGCTTATCACAGAACAAAAATCAACCTATAACTTAGATTTTAGCTGATTATTCATTGAATAACAAAAGCATTCATCGTAGGAGTACTTTTCAATGATCGCTTTAATTAGGATTACGAATGAGACAGGGAATAATTTCACTCCACTTCATAAACTAACTTGCCTTCCAATTAATCCCGTATGTTGTCTAGCACATGGTTCCTTTATGGTATAATCCTGTTCTGCGATATTTTCTCTAGATGTATGTTAATCAAAATTCTATAATTACAATCCAAAAGTCATGAATTGAATTCGAATAACTACTTTAAGATGTATTTTCTGAATTCCTGATAAGACACCTCAACAGCTGGCGTCATCTACTTTGGATGAAGCAAGATCCAGCAGTGGTGATTGTACTACTGTGAAAATTGGTGAAGCTTGGCTATATGAGCAATCCGAATTCAGATTAAAATGATACCTGTACATTTATGTACATTAAAAACAATCAAAAAAATAATTTGTTGAACAAGATCAACAGAAGGCACTAGATTTACTTTCAATTTCAGTAATTTCATTTAAATGATGCATATTTTGTCATGCTTCTTTACTAAGGGAATGTGTCTGTCTGGTTTCTGTTTTGCTGAAGATTTTGTTATTATTAAATATCTCTCTGACATAAAGTATGCAAGTAATAAGCATTACAGTAACTGAACTCCCCATAATAAGTTCAGTTTTCTTCATTTAGTAAGCAGTAGCAGTTCTTCGCACAATTCTTGTTATTTCACAAAGTACGACAAATTATTACCTGTATCCAGTAAAACCTAATATACGTAGATCTGAGATACGAAGATTTTTTCAGCCTACCTTACTATCCTTACCATTTAGGAGTTTTTTGTACACAGAAATATGTTAGGTGGCATTTATTTATCCCATCTCAATATGCCACTTTGCCTACATACTTTATTTGCTTCATTTCACTATTGTTTCAGTCAACTAACTGACAAAGTGATATTTTCTTCACGATCGATATAACAACAGATGTCATATATTCAGTTGTTTACCTAATTTTATACCTGAACATTGATTTTGTGGTAGGCTATATTGGGAGCCAGTGAAAACTGAGAAATCTTGGATAAGTATTTCATACAACTTGCGAATTCGAATGCTGTCACCCATGCAATCAGAACTGGAACTCATGAGTTCTAAAAGTTGTCACAAATGTTTTCCTTATGTTTTGTATAAAAGAATCCATGAATGGCTTATTTTATGAAGTCAAATATGGAAATAATTTATCATCAGTGATGCTGATTAGTGAATGCAATGTTTCGGTAATTCATACAATGTGGAATCCGTGAGTCATTAGATTTTGGCAAAGTAGTTTATTAGTAATAAATGTGCTGAAATTACAATAAGAGGTTTTCTCTTATGAATCAGTATCATGATTCGTCAACTCAAATGTAGTTTAACACTTTGCAGGCAAAATAAGAGTGCTTTCTTGCTATTAATCACTGCCTTCAAACCTCTTTTCAGGTAACTGATTCCAAATATCTTCAAAAATTGGACGTCCTTCAGTTCATCAATGGAAGGAAGATGTGTGTCTAGTTAATAGAATGATTGGTAAAGTTAAACTATCGTAGCCAAAACTGCAGTGACCTTGGACGACCAATTAGAACTCAGATGCAAAAAAGTCACATAATCGTTCTAAAGTACACTAACTATTATCGCAAACTTGATATTTCACTGTATAGTTGTAGCTTATGTGTTTTCAGAATGTCTCCCAGTCAATGCACAGATAATCTATAGAGAAGTCCTACCATGCACGACATACTCATTCATCCAATTGGCCACAAGTCATGGTACTTTGAGATCCATTGATATTTCTGGCACTTTTCTATAACCTATTCCCAACTCTAACCGTAATCCTAACTTCTGATCCTAAATTTAATTGTATCCCTAACCCTAGACGTTGAACCTTAATCTTAAAAGCAATAACCCTATCTCACAGTAGAGATTTTTTAAAAAATGCCTTGTAAATAAGTAGAATACTCTATCTATCCTCTCTAAGTCCGAAACCGTAGGGATGATGTGATTTGGAATGACATTTCATAGCATTCCCGGTGTCTGATTGGTTCTTGAAAGTCAACTTTTGAAAGAATTTAACCTACGCTATGACACTTTTGCTTCACCTAATGATTCAAAAACCTTACTCCATTTTTCCTATCACATTTTATCATTTACCACTGATTATTTCAGTTTTTCCAATATGATCAAATTAATGTTTGATAAAAAGGTTTTCTAAGTATTGTTCATGATCTTCATAACAAGTTAAACAACAGTACCCAGAAGTCTTACAGTTATCAAGTGAGAGTTGGTGTAACCTGGTAGGGAATGCTCTATCTCATATGAAGTATAACAGTAGACCAGTTTTTCGAACGACTGATTCAAAACGTTTCACACCTTTTTAAGCGGTTTTAATGTCAGGCTTATTGAATTAATTCAAAAAGTCAAATTGTTAACAATTCTGACAAAAAGTGAAAAATTCTACCTTTATTTATTATTCTTTTCTCCCTACTATTTTTATATATGTAAGTTTAACTCCGTGTCTCTATATTTAGTTACTAATTTTAAGCCAATTAGAAAACAGTGAAATATTCAATCGTGATTCAGGTAACCAACAGTTTTTAAGAACCAAAAAGAACATGCTGGCACAAATGAAAATTAATTTCATCGCAACAATGGTGCTCTAAAATGACTTATTTTTGAAATAATACAAACATTTTCCGGTGTTTTTGTATGATTCAGACAAAACATAAGGATTATGTTCATTCATGAACCTGTAAATACCTCAAATAACTTGATATATCGTGGTGTCTACATCTTGTCAATCAATGTCAAATCCAAAAGTTATCATAGTTAATAGGCCTGACAATTCAGTGAATAATGCTGATGCTGAGAATGTAAACACCTGTAACATGGTGCAAGCAGAAATTATATTGACCAGACTGCGTAATGCTAGAGAATTAGGAACTGCTTCCCAATTAATAATAGTTGATTTGAGAGAAACGAGACTTTTTCAGTCAGGTCATATAATAACTGCTCGTTCAGCAAACTGCTATACAAAAACTATGGCTAAACGAGCCATACAATCATGGGATGTATGGTATTCAGAAACACATGGATGTCCTGCACCACATAAGGATTCTTCAGTCTCATTTATTTCTCAGATCTCCGTTGTTAAACCAGCTATTGTTGTATACAACCAACGTGGTACCTTTTCGTCTAATTCATCAACGAGAGATAAAAAACTTCGCGCCGAAATGCATTTCATTTGTGCCCTGATAACTCGTGGTAATCGAGTATATATGATTGATGGTAAGTCATAAATAACAGTTGAATGTATTCATCTGTCTATGTGCATGTTAGAAGTAAACAGATCTGGCTATATTAGGTTATCTATAATAAATAGTTTCCAAAGCTCCCCGGCCTTTAGCATCCATCAAAAATAATTAAAGAAAGAATTATGGCTTTATGTGAAAGTCACGGATTTACTAAAAGACTAAATATTTCCTCTTAACCAATTACATATATGGTTATGTAATGTGTATAGGTCAAATCTACAGTATTATAAACATATATACATATACATGTATATATATAGCTGACAAATATAAGCTGCTATTAAAGTTCTTGTATTACAAAGTCGTTATTGTATGAGTTTGACTTTGTAATTATTTTGCAATACTTATATGCATGTTGTCTTGTAACTTTTGCTTAAAAGATATTTTATTCCCTTAGGTATTTTACTAACTGATTGGTAAAACAGAACAAGTCGAAATAGGGCGAAAACTGATCCAGTTGATTTGAGGTTTTGTTTATTAGAACTGTACGAAGGTTAACCACTTCATAAATTTGTTCCAGTTAGGTTAGAATTCTACTTTAGCTTCTTAATTTCTTCAGTGAATGCACTTATTCTGTCTGAATGCTTTAGAAAGTTATTTAGCAATGTAACTATCCATCATTTAAAACTACGACTGAAGTCTATTGGGAACTATGAATCATAAATTTTGGTGTTTGATATTGATTGTTAAGGATTAAAAATGTTATGGCTATTCAGTTCACTGTGAGTATGTACTTGCTTTACAAAGATAAAAAAACCAAAATTTTAAAAATAAGTCCTTAATATGAAAATACTTATATCGACCTTAATGCATTTGACTGATGCACAGAAAAGAACAAAATGTCTGGTGATTTAAAGTCGGTCACTAAGACAGTATGATTTGTTTGCTACTAAATCTAGTAATCATGAATTGATAAATCTACCATATTTGTATTAAAACATTTTAAACCTCAAAGTAATTGCTAGTCATTTCAAAAACCTTACTTGATAAATATAGCGCTATCTAGTGTATTTTTGAGTCGGTAACAAAGATCCTGTGTCTCGCTTGTTCATTTTGGCTCACTGTCGGCTGAACAATTATTATTAGACGCACGGGAAGTGGGTAGGTTGATACATTTTAATCAAAAATAGATTTCTGGCGCTTAGTTGTTTCATTTACCTTAAAATGTGACGTACCTGGTATGAACCTGTTTATACAAGTGACTTAGTAGACAGAAATTTCGTACAGTCATTTATAGGTGCGTAAAGGGATCACAGTAATGAATAAAAGGATGAAGGTCTGTGTTATTCAATTAAAGTCAAACACCAGAGAGCTATGGACTTATGATTTGTGCTTATTATCGCTCACTGGGCAACACTTATTGGCAAGTTAAGTTACTCTGAACATTTCAACCTATATTATGAAGGGCTATTCATAGAAAATTTACCATTGATCTACTTGTACTGCTGTAGAGCTATTATAGAACTGATCTTCATACATCAATACACCACAGAAACATCATCAGTATGATGTTGCTTTGTCCTCATAACTGACCTTATTCTACTGACTACCACTTACGATGCAACCACCAAACTAAATGACTTACCACTATTGTGTTCTCTGAATTGATGTTAAACAACTGGATGTCATAAAACCTGCGAAACTGAACTTACTTTGAGGAAGTGGGAGTTAACCTAATGCAAGTGTAGAATATGGGCACTGTGGTAGAATGTAATTCCATACCAAACATATTTATTTGATATGACACATTGTGATACATGTCTATTCACAAGATTGCGCTTCGAGCACATTTAATAACTCATAGTAGTATCAGCCTATTCACACGGTTTCATAATTTGCATTGCATTTTTTCTCCTTTTCCCTTTGTTACTCAGTGTAATTTCATATATATATATATATATATATATATATATATATATATATATATTATGGGCGTTGTGTCATTAATATTTCATATGTTCTGTGTTGAATCAATGAACAAAGCTCCAGTGATCAACTCCTCTATCCGCCTATCTGTATGACATTTTAATACTTTTACCCAATCCTACAGTTTTGCTTGAATACATGCAAGTGGATGCATTGTAATATATAAATTTTTTAGCTTATTCAACTTAACAGGGTCTAGCTGCTAAGTTAAATAACGCACAGAAAAACTCAGCCATTGAGGTACATTCCCTTGCATTTAATCACAAAATAGGGTGGGACAGGGTGAGAGTAATAGAAAGTCATATAGTTAGGTGAAGCACTTAAAAAGTTAAATGCTTCTAAAGAATATTTCATTCACCGATCGCATCTATGATGTACATAAGTTAAAACAGTCAGTTTATATGCGTAAACATTCTGTATTATTTAAGATTACAGAGGCTAAATGTAGAACCTGTTTTACAAAATTTCCCACAATCAGTTTGAACAAACTAATAATAAAACATGGAGCCTGAGAAAAAAGCACCTGTTTTATGTTGTCATTTTCTAGTCAACTGGTTACAACTTGAATAATAAAAATCGTATAAAAATATACAAAATTGCTTTAATTTATATGATCTGCGGCCATTTCATCAGACAGTTCCGCGAAAATTAGGCAACAAGTGAAAAGTAGACGTTTAAAAAATATCTGTTTGAAAATCCTCGTGAAGTTTAAATAATTAATCTCAAAGCTGCGTTCTGCGAACTGATTCAAACTTCTTTAGGGAAACAGTCAAAACTGAAATATCAAAGTATAGTTAACAGGAAAATTCCTATCTTCGAAATCCTTGTTCAGTCACATCTCTGACATCAGTATTTGACAAAACATAATAAAATATAAAATTATACGACCTTTGATAAATATTTAACAGAAACGTCCTTCACATATTGGTTTTAGATCTGTCAGCTGATCGACTAAACTCTCAAACTGCACTTCGGCATAAGTTCTGTTGTCAGACTTTCTTGGAATGTGAAATTTAAATTTACACGAGAATGCTTCAATGTCATTTGGACTCCGATAATTTCTTGAACGTAGGTTGTATTTTGTCTAGGAGTTTCAGGAAAGACTCCTTATAATTGCTGTTTTTAATTAAGGTTTTGGTAGGGTCTTATGAAAAGCACACGTGTTTTGAGCTGAAGATCCTCTGAGAAGTTGTTAAATTTTATTCAACAGCTGTTAACAGTTCGTAAAACAAGTCAGTGATTTAGACATCATATGTCGAATAAGAAGAAGGGTAACATGCATGTATATACACCGTTTTGATTTTATTAAAGTGCGTCACCAAAATGAGTCCAAAATATCATACTCTAACAGCAAAAGGCAAGACACAGAAGCTAAGGTATATTTTCAAGTGATCAGACAGCTGTTTATATATCTATACAGTTCTATATTCTTTAAACAATCACTGATCGTGTGATTTCAGTCTACATTAAACAACATGGAACAGAATGTTCAAATACACACATAGTATTCTGTTACTAATGCAGTATTGAACTGTGGGAAGAGTACTCAGACGTTAACACCAACATACGTAATGATTTTTTACTGTGAGAATAACATTAGGTTGGAACATATTGCCTGTATCACACCAACACAATACGTTCCACGCTTTTCAAGATTTTGTACTCATACTGCATTACAGTATTATGATAATAACCAGGATGAATCGCTTCAAAATTTGGTAACTACTAGTTCTCTTAATTAGTACTACCTGCATACTTGTAAACTGATTCAAATGCTTTAAGTTTTGTTCTGCTCAACAATAGAAATAGACAGATGCATACAGTGAATGATCAATACTTCAAGTTGAATAGAAGAAAACAACATACGAGTAAGCTGGAAGAAAATAGGCAGACAAACACAAAAACTAAATTGATTTTAACTACTTCTTAATGTAAACTGAATAATAAAGTATACACCACTGCACTCAGCTGGCTTACTGCTTATCTTTTTACTAGACTGTGATTAAAATTGGCTGCATGGTGCTATTCTGAGTATGAGAAATTTTATATTGCATGTTCGGTAAAATTTAGTCTTACTTACAGCATTCTAAATTAACCACCTGAGTTACAAATCTTCTCTATAATTTCATATTCAATTACAAGCTAGGAGATAAAATAATACATAATAGGCTCAGTCTTGTACAATTTCATACAGTGATGCTATTAAAAATGTCGGACTGATAGAGAGATTAATGAAAGACTTTGCACAGAAGCATATCAGTTCGAGTTTGTGACACTTTGTAAGATTACAATGGAGGAAATTTTCAGCTCAAGCAGATCACTGTGACATAGCTGTGTTTTATGACGTGGATGGTGTTTACTCGCAAAGCTCTCATTGTTCTACTAGGCAACATCTTCACCTCATACTTCAATTTGAAGTAAGGTTTTAGCTTTCTGCACGAGTTTATTAGTCGTCTCTCCTGCTGACCTTGAACGTTGCTGGTTGCTCTTGTCTGTCCAGTCTATTGGTATTGGTATTGATTGTTTCCCTAACCTGAATTGTGACTTTTGGTGAATGTGATTTTCCTCTCATGGATTGATAAATCTTATCTATTTCAGTGTGCCTGTTAATTGCCGATTCACTGGAATACGAGACTTTCAAAACTACATAAACTACATAAAATATAAGAACAAAAATGTTGTAATGTTAAAATAGGCTAACATGAATGTGATTAGAAAAAGAAATAATATTCCGAAAACTAAAATGGATTCACTTTTGTTGTTTCAATTGATTTTAAGTCGTATCCCAAGGAGTTTCCACCTTTCTGTGTTTGGTCGAATAATGACGCTCTATAGACAAACAAACCATCATATGCTTTTCAGGATAACGAAATTTTACTTCAAGTAATTTTTTGGTTTGTTCAAATCAGTTTTTTTATAAATTTAGTCCCACTATAACTGACATTACTCTTCAAAGTAAGTGGTGACACGCAAATCTCAATTGGTTGACAACCGCGCTGATAGTTTTTCCATTTTTAATAATAAATAATAATTTTTCCTTCACGTTCC